CTCGAACCCCCCCCCCCCCCCCCCCCCACCCAGTCAGGCAGTGGCGCGCTGTCAGGTAAACATTGGATGCAGTAAATCAGGTACACAACAATATCTTTCACTAAGTTGACATGGTGGCTTGTGTCACCTCACTTAAGAAAAGGAACCTTTAGATGCACTTTAGCAGTTATGGGGGTTGGAATTTCTCTGAGCAATGGACTTCAGTTATAAAGATTTATGAAAGCTGCTATGTGACAAAGTATTCCAGTTTTTGTGGCTGCTGACAGGCTACACATTTGTATAAGTACTGCGGGGGCACAGAGCGCTCTGTGTGAAAGCTCTGCGTGTCTCTTACTAATCACTCGTACTGCATCCCGACAAGCATTTTCCTTCCTATGTAACATAATGGAGCCATTATCCTTATTAATGACTGACATTCTCAGAATGGCGCTGACCGATCTTGTAAGGGTTTTTTCTTCTACATTTACATTTCTTTGGCCCTTTCTGTTCTTTCATCTCTTTTAATTACGGTTTCAGCTGTTTCTTTTTTCCTTTACTTATTAGAGCTATCTCCATCTCTGCCCTAGTCTCTTTGTCTTCTCAACATCTCTTATGTGGCCAGGTGCTGCAGAGATTTCACTGGAAATGGCAAAGAGGTGCCAACCATTTGGGGTTCCTATGATTTGCAGTTACCCCTGCACTTTATTTGAATTATGTTTTTTTTAAATTGTTTTTTAAACCCTGGTGAGCAAGGTTGTTAAAAACAATAAGTCCACTTACATTTACTTTGCAGTTTTATGTAAATTCATTATGAGGGTTATTCGCAAAGCTGCCCAAAGGAGCCGTGTGAATAACCAACCCGAAGTGAAGTGAGCCAAACGCTGTTCGGCTATTCACTTCAGGCTTGTACGGCTGATTTCAGCCGTACATCAGGTGAAATCAGCCGTACATCGTCTTGCTGCGGCTGGCTTCAGGTCGGCCGAACATGCTGAGCATGTCCGGCCGACCCGAAGTGCAGAAGGAGTTCGACTCAGTCGATTCAACATCTGGATCGGCTGAGCCGAACCTCCGGCAGGCTACTCGCTGCTGTTCGGCCTATTCTCATAGGGGCCGAACAGCAGTGAGTGAATAGCCTCCGTGGTACCGAGCAGAATAGAAAAACAGAATAGCAGTGACAGCTAGCTCCGCCCAACTATTGGCTGGGACTAGAGCTGCAGCTAACAATTATTTTAAAAATCGATTAGTTAGCCGATTATTAAGTTCGATGAATCGTATAATCGGATCAAAAATAAAATACATTTTAAAAAATGGCTCCAGTGATGGGACTACTAGTTTGTATTGAGGTTGTAGTCCATCACAGGAGCAAGCTTGGAGCGGTGGAAGTTGTACTCCTCTATAGCTGGTGGTATCCTGCATTGTGCTGTATAATGTATTATTGCTGGGATTTGTAGTCCTCTATACAGCGCAATGCAGAATACCACCAGCTATAGAGGAATACAACAAATCCCAGCAATACATTATACATAGAGTATATAATGTATTGCTGGGATTTGTAGTCCTCTATAGCTGATGGTATAATATACAGCACAATGTACCATCAGCTATAGAGGAATACAAATCACAGCAATACATTATAGAGCACCATGTGTGGGAAAGTGCAGGCTTACCTGAGCAGTCTTCCAGCAACTTGCTTCTGAGATCAGGCCTGTCTATCGGCGGCTGTCATCCCCCCCACACCTGCTCCTCCTTACTTCTTCTCCCCGCATCCCTGTGCCGATCTTGGATGTGGGCGGGCGG